GGCTTCCATCGTCTGAGGCCTGTGTGCAGGGAGGCCAGGCGCAGCCCATTAGGAGACCCCGCGCCACGGCTAAGTAGTCCGGTCGGAGTGTGCCTGTTGTGCGGCGCGCGCATCCAGAGGCCCATTTTCCTTATTGCTGTAATTTGTTCTGATTCAAGTATTCCACGGAGAATGAGGTTTCTGGCCGGAAAGTGCTCAGCTGCGGCGGTGATGTGGGATCCAGATGGCCGGCGGAGCCTGCAAGAGGGATGGGAAATGTGCCCACGTGCCTCAGTCTGCAGTGTTTCTGCTTTTTATATGGACATTAAACTTGGTCAGGCTGAAGTGCCATTTGCTCGGAGAAAGGATAATGTACACAAATCCCGGTGAATTCTCAAACACAGACGGAAGCTGGGGCGGCAGCGTGTGTAGGGCGCCTGCACCCTGGACGCCTGTGATCTGGGGCTTACAATGGGGGAGGGATACACACATGTTGCCTGTGGAGTTCTAGGTAAAGTTATTTTGATTCTTGACAGATGACATCAGATGTACATCGCGTCAGTTCAGTTCAGTCGCTCAGTGGTGTTCGACTCTTTGTGACCCCATGGACTGCAGGACGCCAGGCTTCCCTGTCCATCACCAACTTGTGTAGTTTTTCTTAAATTGCAAGTATGACAGTTTTTATCGATGAATCAGCAGGACGTTTATGATGGGCCACGGACTACACTAGGCGTTGTTGTTTAGTAACTGAGTCGTGTCTGACTCTTTTTTGACCCCATGGACGGTAGCCTGTCAGGCTCCTCTGTTCGTGGGAGCCGCCAGGCTTGGTGGGGAGATTTGAAACAGGTAATTGAAACTGACCAGGAGAGGGAGAAGCATAGGCTTCAGGTCAGAGGGTTCCATGGATAGAAGTGTCCAAGAGATGGTCTGAGAGTAGCAAGAAGCAGGTAAGAGAAGGTTGAACTCTTCCCTGCTGATGCAGAGATGTGAATTCTGGCGGGGGAGGTGGAGAGAGAAGGGGGGAGAGGGGTGGGGAGATACACGGGTGAAAACATGAGCGGCATGGTTGAGCATAGGAAACGTTTGAGTCGGAAGCAGGATGGGAGGCTGAGAGGGCTTGCATGTAGGGTGTGTGTGAGGAGGCCGTGATGATGGCAGCTGCAGGGAGTGAGAGGAAGTGCCTGAGGTGGCATGGCCCAGTTATTTTAGTGCCCACGCATATCTCGTGACTTTCAAAATCCTCTCTTTACTGAGATTACAGCGTCAGTGCTGGGATTCAGAAAGATCTAGGGGCAGAGGGACGTGTCTAACTGTCTATAGCGGCGTTGGAGGAGGAGGTGGGGTTAGCTAAGTAACTGGAGCTAGGGAAGGCTTCACGGAGGAGGTGACATTTCAGACTGGGTTTTCACAGGTGATGAAAAGGTGGCATGAGTGAGAAGATAGATTAAAGCACTGAAACAAGAGAGAAGGTCGTCCCTGGTGGTCCAGTGGCTAAGACTCTGTGCTCCCAGTGCAGGGTCCTGGGTTCAATCCCTGGTCAGGTAACTAAGATTCCACAAGCTACATGGCATAGCTAAAAAACAAAAAAAAAGAAAAGAAAGAAAAAAGATCCTGCATGTTGCAACTAAGACCAACACAGTCAAATAAATATTAAAAAACATTTTTAAAAATTAAGAAACATAAATGAGAGATGAGTAAAAGCCAGACATTTCAATATAGAATAATCATTGACAGATTAAAAAAATAGTGATAGGATGATTGATTTGGTGAGAAACTGACATGCAGCAAGATGAAGATGAACTTGGCACATTGAATAGACCCCTTTATTGGCCTTTACTGAATGTCAGGTTAATAAAGCTGCTTTTCAGAGCAGGTCCCAGGAACTTCCCTTCAGAGAGCCATGCAGACCCCTTGGCCATCTCCCACGTTCCTCTGGCCACCACGATGCTACAACCTAACAATTACCTTTATTCCTGATGGTGAGTATGCTTAAGATGAGAAATTAAAAATTCTATACCATGAAAGCATCGTTTTTTTTTTTTAATTCACTCCTATTTTTAGAACCAAACCTGCTTTCACTGTGCAGTCTGGATCATCACTTGATGAGTCTGGGTAAGCAGACAATCAATCACAGGCAGATAATAGACATCAGTGATATTGCTTTGCAAGGTATATGCTCTGATTTATGTTACTGGATGGTCGTTTATGATACTTTTAAAATATCTGTGATGGAATAAGGCTTTTATAACCAAGCGCCAAAGACAAAGCCATTCCTTCATTTATTTATTTATTTGCTTATTTAAACAATCCACTTATCCTTATGCTGATTAAATCTGAATGCTTGGTATGGTTGTCGGGAGCTATCGTTCATATAACTTATCAAAATGAAGGTGTCTCACACGATGAGAACATTAACCAAGGGGCAACACTAACTTTAGTTGTTGGTTTCAAAACTCATTTTCAGTTTGTTGTTTAAGACCTGCATTTACCCAGATCTCCGAGCATTGTCTAAAGCTAGAGGATTAAGAACACTATTTTACTCAACCTCTGTCAAGAGTGGGTTCTTCTGGCTTTGGCAGCACGTGTACTACTTTCTTTTTCTTTCTTTGTTTTTTTTTAAGCTGTGCCGCGCAGCATGTGTTATCTTAGTTCCCAGGCCAGGGACTGAACCCACGTTCTTGGCAGTAAAGCGTGGAGTCCTAACCACTGGACCACTAGGGGATTCATACAGGTGCTATTTTTAAGACTGAGAGAAACACTCAAGTATCCCCAAGTATGTTTCTTCCATTCAGCTGGTTTGATGGGTATGCCAAGTCAACGTGCAAACAAAACCGTGGACTTAGAAAAACCAACCTCTGAAGCCAACTCCTTTCCTCCAAGTGTGCGCTGTGTGTGTGTTCAGTCCTTCAGTCGTGTCCGACTCTTTGCAACCCCATGGACTATAGCCCACCAGGCTCCTCTGTCCATGGCATTCTGCAGCCAAAATTACTGGAGGTTTCCATTTCCTTCTCCAGGGGATCTTCCTGACCCAGGGACTGAACTGACGTCTCTTGTGTCTCCTGCGGGGGCAGGCGAATTCTTTACTGCTGAGTCACCTGGGAAGCCCCCTTCCTCCCGATGTATCTCCTTCTTTTCTCACTTGTCCACCGTGGCCCCCGATCCCACACCACTCCTGCTGCGGAGAGCAAACAGACCCTGTTGTTGGAGAATGCCCTGTTTTTCTGGATACTAGTCATGCTGCTCTCTGCCTCTGCACCGGTTCTTGTCCTCCTCCCATCAAATGACTTGCCAACCTCCGCTTGGAACCACACCCCCTCCCACCTTCAGGAACCTCACACTGCTGATTATTTCAGCGATTTCTTCGTTTTCAGACATCTTCGCCCTTTGTCCTGATCAGATTCTTCCCGTCTATTTTTAACCACACCTTGCTGTTTAGTCACCAAGTCGTGTCTGACTCTTTGCGACCCCACAGACTGTAGCCTGCCAAGGCTCCTCTGTCCATGGGATTCTTCAGGCAAGAATCCTGGAGTGGGTTGCATTTCCTTCTCCAGGGGATCTTCCCAACCCTGGGATCGAACTGAGGTCTCCTGCATTGCGGGCAGATGCCTCACCTTCTAAGCCACCAGGGAAGCCCGAGTCTTGTTGGGGAGCAGAGATTCCTTAAAGGAAGAGTAAACGCTGGTCAAACGCTGCTGCCAGATACGGAAAATGGAAACCGACCCTGGGTAAGCAAACCCCCGCCACCGCCACACACCGAACACAGTCAAGTCCCATCCCCATGGGCAGCCTATCTGGTACCTGCAGTCTGTCGTCAGAATGATCCTTCCTATTCTTTATCAGCCGTGCTACATCCAACATCCGATCTCCACCATTTATTACCTCTGTGCTTTGCAACCAATGCATGTTTAGAACTTTTGCTTCTGGACTTCCCTGGTGGTCCAGTGGATGAGAATTCACTTGGCAATGCAGGGGACAAGGGTTCAATCCCTGGTCGGGGGCGATTCCACATGGGGCGGTGCAGCTGAAGCCTGTGTGTTCTAGAGCCGGTGCTCCGAAACCTGAGTGAAGCCGTCAGGAGTAGCCCACGCATCGCAACGAAAAGGAGCCCCTGCTCGCCGGAACTAGAGGAATGCCCGCGCAGTAACAAAGAGCCAGCGCAACCAAAAATGAATAAATCGTGTTAAAAAAAAAACCCCGAGCAGAATTTTTGTTTCCTCCATAAACCTGCCAAACGAGATCTTTACCTTACTTCCTAAGACTCAGAACCTGTCTCTCTGGAAAACCTAAATGAAAGCTTCCTTATTCGGGAGATGGGTGATGGTGAGCGCTGCGCAACAATGTGAACGTATTTAGTGCCACTGAACTGTACAGTTAACGATGGTTTAAATAGTATGTTTTATATTACATGACTTCTTACCACAATGAAAACAAGCTGTAAAAAAAAAGCCCACACCCACTGCCCGTGTCCCCCCGAGGCCTGCCGGATCGGCCGTTGTTCTTTTGCGGTGAAATCACACTGACGCTGGGACAGTCTCCGTGTTCCCCCCTTGCACTCACTCGCCAGCTCTCTTGGACCCTGCGCCCAGCCTTTCCGCCTCTTCTCTCTGACGTGATCAGTGACTGTCTCGTCAGCAGGCCTGATGAATGTTTTCCTTGCGTTCTCACCCACGGGGACTGCTGCTTCCTGGCTTAGGTCTCAGGTACCAGCCCCCTTGATGCCGCCGCTGCCTGCCGCATCCCCTCGCCCAGTTGCCTTCTTCCCTGGATTATTAGCTGCCGGGGCGGGGGCGCACGGGGCCTCCCCTGGACCACTACTCTTCCCATTCTGTGCTCTTAGGCTGACTGGGACCGTGGCTGATTGTTGGGGAGAAAAGTGAAACTGAAGTCGCTCAGTCCTGTCCGACTTTCTGCGACCCCATGGGCTGTAGCCTACCAGGCTCTTCTGTCCATGGGAGTTTCCAGGCAAGAGCACTGAAGTGGGTTGCCATTTCCTTCTCCAGGGGATCTTCCCAACCCTGGGATCGAACTGAGGTCTCCTGCATTGCGGGCAGATGCTTCACCTTCTAAGCCACCAGGGAAGCCCGAGTCTTGTTGGGGAGCAGAGGTCCCTTAAAGGAAGAGTAAACGCCGGTCAAACGCTGCTGCCAGATAACGGAAAATGGAAACCGACCCTGGGTAAGCAAACCCCCGCCACCGCCACACACCGAACACAGTCAAGTCCCATCCCCATGGGCAGCCTACCTGGTACCTGCAGTCTGTCGTCAGAACGATCCTTCCTATTCTTTATCAGCCGTGCTACATCCAACATTCGATCTCCACCATTTATTACCTCTGTGCTTTGCAACCAATGCATGTTTAGAACTTTTGCTTCTGGACTTCCCTGGTGGTCCAGTGGATAAGAATTCACTTGGCAATGCAGGGGACAAGGGTTCAATCCCTGGTCTGAGACGATTCCACATGGGGCGGTGCAGCTGAAGCCTGTGTGTTCTAGAGCCGGTGCTCCGAAACTTGAGTGAAGCCGTCAGGAGTAGCCCACGCATCGCAACGAAAAGGAGCTCCGGCTCGCCGGAACTAGAGGAATGCCCGCGCAGTAACAAAGAGCCAGCGCAAACAAAAATGAATAAATCGTGTTAAAAAAAAAACCCCGAACAGAATTCTTGTTTCCTCCATAAACCTGCCAAACGAGATCTTTACCTTACTTCCTAAGACTCAGAACCTGTCTCTCTGGAAAACCTAAATGAAAGCTTCCTTAGCTATGTTCTCATAAGTCTTCTATCCTTGGGCACTTACCACATTGTAATTTGTACCGTCATCATTTCTGTTTTGTAGGCCAACCCTTTACTTGAATGTAAGCTTACGCTCTACAAGGCCAAGGACTATACCTTGTTTATCTTTTTCTTCCCTCATTGGGTCCAACCTGTGGCCAAGTTCATGGTAAGTACTTTTTGGTTGGTTTCATGATCATTATCTGTTCCTAGTGAGCCAGAAACAGGCATATTGGAACTTTCAAGAATTAAAAACAGAAGGAAAAGAGAAGGACTGNGCTAGTGGTCCCTCACTCTTCATGTTGAGTATTTCGACCTCCATGTTGCTCTGGGTCTCCTCTTAAGACCTGTCTAGTCATCTGCCCTGAAATACAGTGTTGTCATTTCTGAGTCACCTGACTTCTGCAGTCTTTAAGCTTATCTAACATACATATTATATCTTCTGCCAAGAACAGAGTAAAACTTTAATATATCATATTTAAAGAGCAGAATACCATGGAGTCCATCACATCCTGGTTGATTAAAATGATGTCTGGCAGTTTTTCTTCCTCATTTGTTTTAATGTCTTTGTCTTTATGATACTTGAAGTTCATCGGTTTCTTTGCTGCCAAGTCCTTTTATGAATATGCATTTTTGTGTTGAGTCTGAACAGACAAGAGGAGTCTTTCTTCCTGTTTTAAAATTGTGCTTTCAAAGGTGTAGGATACTTTGAGAAGTATACTAAACAAAAATTCAAACATGCAAAAGTGTCACTTTTGGGCAGGATTGTCATATAGAGGGGTCTGCTTCATTAAAAGACTTACCCAGACTTCCTTTAAAAAGAAGGTCTCTTACTTTTGTCTATGGAAAAAAATGGCTTGTTAGAAAGCCTAACTAGAGGAGCTTTTAAAAGTTATTTCTTACCAATAGGGTTGCCAGGTAAAATACAGAATGCCCAGTTACATTTGAATTTCACATAAACAACAGATAATTTTGAGTATAGTGTGTCCCAAATGTCACATGAACATATTTGTACTAAACTATGCATTGGTTATTTGTCTGAAATTCAAGTTTAAGTGGATGTCATATTTTTATTTGCTAAGTCTGGCAGTTTACCAGGGTAGAAGAAAATCTTAAGGTATTTATTAAGCATATTATTACAAAATTTCAATTTATAAACAATGTTTCTCTTTTTAGGGGCATCACAAGTGGCCCATGTTAGATGATATATGCAAAAATTCTTTGTGAACTGAAAATATGGGCATAGAAATTTTGTTTTTATCTGTTAGTAACATAGCATGAGTCAAATATCTAATACTCAAGAGCCTAACAGGTGCACTGTAAAGGCTGGTGTGGAGGATGGGGGTGATTTTTTTTTTCTCTTTCTTCAGTATTGTTTCAAGCCTCCCAACTTCCAGTGACTCTCACACAAACTCTTTAAGAAGAACATGTATATGAAGTGAGTGTGTTGGATCTGAGTTAGGGCAAGACACAGAAAAAGCAGAGAGGCAGAAATGGCCCAGGCACTGCAGTGAAAGGGACCTGGGTTCAGATTCTGTGTGCAGACAACTCAGAAGCTGATGGCTTTGGTCACGTTACGTAACTTGTTCTGGTCGGCATCATTTATGTTACTTGAGATAAATGACTTGTCTCATAAGTGGCTGCATCATACTAGGCATTTGCTATTATAGTTATTGGTAAGGATATAAAGGAACAGCAAAGATGAGAAAACAAGGAGGGTGCAAGAAAGGAAGCAAGAGAGAGATCAAAGAAGAGAATACAGGAGTCTTTTAAAAAACCTCTTAAGGAATGAAATTAAATAGAAGTAACCATCCCCACCTACTATTGGTAACAAAAATCCCAGCTTGCTCAAATTCTTTCCCCCAAGTCTTGCTGGGACCCATGAAACAAAGTTGCAGTTGGTTAAACAATTATTGAAATTTGTATGATGAAAGGAAATACTCAAAACAACTAAGAGAAGTCTATCTAAACCAAAACTCCACATGAGAGGTAAAAAATTAATATTTTTAAATTTCTTTTCAAGTAACACGGCCTTTGCCAGTTTTCTAAATGGTTGATCAATTTTTTTTTCTTTTTTTACTTTTTAATTTTCCATTTTGATATAGTCTACTATCTTTTGGGTCATTTGCTTTATACAACATATAACTGAAATTTTAAAAAGCATGAGTATAAAGCAAGTTCTATTCCTATGAAGTGACTAACAGCATACAACTTGAGATTCCAGGATTTGAGGAAATTGTAGGAATCCTACTCACAGAATATTGAGAATACCATGGTCTTTATTCAAGAGAGTGAGGTGCTTTTATCTTTTTTTCTTTTTTTAAAAGAAATTGAGGTATAATTGATATATAATGTAAAAGTTTCAGGTATAAAATATAATAATTGTATACACTTCAAAGTGATCACTACCAGGAATCTAGTTATTATCTATCACTATCCTCTTTTCTGATAACAGGAAAAGTAGACTTAAATGGAGGTGTCTGATGCATATATTTTGGTAGAGCCTTATTAAGTCAGTTGGGGTCCAATCATGATTAAGTAGTATTTCACCCAGAGAAGTACTGCATTTGGCAACATGTAGATTAGCAAACTGGCATGTGAAAGTTCCTGAGGTGTGAATTATAAGACCCAGGATTGCTTGCCTGTGTGAGGAACTTGTCCTCAGCTGTGAACAATTTCCCAACTTCCGAGCACACTCCAGGATGCAAGAGATCCCCAGCCTGGGGTGAAGATCACGGGGGTCAGTCCCTCAGGTCATCAGCCCCCAGCCCGAGGCAGGGTCACTGCCTCACGTCCAGTCAGGGTGGAGCTATGGATGCAAATGACAGNGGGGCATCTTCGGGGCTCTCATGGAGGCAGTCAGCTTAAATGACCCCAGAGGAGGCTGTTGGTGCCTATTAGGTGTCTGCTTGACCTTGGCATCATGAAAGGTTATCCAGGCTGAGCTCTGAGGCTTCTCTGTGCTCGTGGCCACCTCGCCCTCATCCCTCCTGTGCCGCTGCTTCCGGTTCTGACCAACCTCTGCCTGTGGCCCTTTTGCATCTTGGGTGATTCTGAACCCACTTCGGGACATCCTAACCCTCGTGATGGTTCAACGTCTGTGTGTCTGTATTGTTGCTTCCTTTTCATTCTTCCTGTGATACACAGTTGATGCTGTGTTTAATGAGCAGAAACAGCATTAACTTAGTTTTCTGTAAGTTACTTTCGTTTCCTGGTGGTACTGGAAAGGGCCACAAAGCTTTAGATGAGACGGCGTCGTTTAGGAGTTCGGAGGAGGCAGAAGGTAAGGACCGAGGCCCCTCTGCAACTCAGGAGTACTGTTTCATTTCCTGGAGAGAGAGAGGAGGGCGTTCCTTTCTCTCGAGTGCTCCGAAGGGGACCCCACGTTCTATCAAGGGCTCCTCCTCAGTGTGTGTCCTGCAGGTCTTATGTTCAGTTGGGGTCAGTGTGAATCAGGGGCCTCTCAGCCCTTTTTGTTGTCGCGGCACATGCAGAAAAGTGACATATTTGTTCTGCATACAGGAATGAATGGGGAGAAGTGGGGCTCATTATATTTTGTGTTAAAAGATTATGGAAAAGGAAAGAAGTTGCAGAGCCACTTTCTTCTTTAGAGCAGTTTCAGGTTCATAGCAAAATTGACTTGGAAATATAGATCATTTCCATTGCTATGTTTTCAAGGCCCATACGGTGATCTTTACGAAATCTTAAGTTTCCTGGATGAAAATGTTTTCTTCCAAATGTTCATTGCCCCTTGGCTTTACATGTTCACCAAGATTTTCATTTTTCTAACCTGTTTTATATCCATCTTGTACTTACCTTTTCTTCTTTGCTAGACTGTAAATTCCATAAGGGCAATGTTCACATCCGATTTGTCTCTGAATCCTCCGAAAACTACCTGCCATGGTCCACTCACTGTTGTGGCAGATATTAGGTTGCATACTATCACATTGCACTGCTTATATATATATATGTAGGTCTGTCTTCGTTTTCTTTCTTTTTTGTTTTTAAATGCTTATTTATTTGGCTATGCTGGGTCTTAGTTGTAGCATACGGATATTTAACTGTGACATGCAAACTCTTAGTTGCCCTGTGTGAGATCTAGTTCCCTGACCAGGGATTAAACCTGGGCCCTCTGCATCAGAAGCACGGATCTTAGCCAAGGATGTCCCAGGTCTGTCTTTCTTATTCGACTGAGAGTTCTGGGATCACGTATTTTTTGTGCGTTTGTACCTCCTAGGGCTTTGTTCCATGTCAAGAAGACAGTCAAGTATACAAGTAGACAGTAGCATGCCTTTCCATCAGGAAGTTAATTGTTACATGGTGGAATTTCAGTTGAAATATCAATACGTATTAAGTAGTAATCATAAAGAAAGATCAGAAGAAAATGTAAAAAATTAGATTTTAACTGAATATCTGTATTATGTTCTCAAAAGTACATGTTTATCTCCCAGTGCTTAGGTCATCCAGGCTTGATTACCCCTGCAGGATCAGACATCTCTCATGGATTAAAATAGATCTGAAAATATAACTTCTTACAACAGCAGAAAAATAGCAAGGAAAGAAGAGCTTGAGTCAAAATACAACTTTAAAGTGCTCTTTTTCTTGGAACATCTGACATTTAAAACTCATTATCTCTTGCCACTTGAGCCTCAATGTTGACCTCAGAGGTTTTATAGAAGATACAGGATTTAGAGGGCAAAAAAGACGCAAGAAGGCAGGGCGATTGAGAGTGAAGGGTTGAGGTATAACTTGGGCTTGAGGTTGTTAATTTCAGACCAAGAGCAGGAAGGATGGATCACAAAGGAAAGGGATGCATGATTGACTGAAAGGCAAGGGCTGAGTAGTGATGAGAGCAGCGATGTTACTGCTGCAAAGACGACAAAGATGGATGAGGCTGAAGGGCAGGGCCCGAAAGAGTGAGGAAGGGACATTTCTACAGTGATACCTGGGACCTAGTCAGTGTATGAATAACTTCAAAACATCATTAATGAAAAATAAAAACACCATCTTCCCAGCATATCAAATTTGTTTGCCTTTGTGGTCTTTTTCAGGAGAATGGACAGATTTAGAGAGACAGAAGCCTATCAAGGACCCCTATAAATAACTATGAAGCTGCCGCTCATGTAGAATTCCTGAAGCATGGCTACAAACCCTCTTTTCCTTTTGGGAGAAAGGAGAAGTGTTTGGCATTGGCAGATCTTTCTTTTTTTTTTTTTTTTCCCCTGTAACTCAGAAAAATGCCAGAGAATCATTCTGACAGCCTCCTAAACAGTAATTGAACATAAAACACCAATCACAGATGTTAGCATGTTATCATTTGTAATGAGTTCTTCTGCTTCCCATTGGTTCTGACGCAGACAGTGGTCAAGGATGGTCACTCTAATGTGACACTGTCATGAACTGTAATCTGTTGGGTCCTTAGGAAGATGTTTTAGTCCCTGACAGTGATGCCGATGATTATGGACCTTGAAATCATTCTTGAATGCCCAATACATTTTATTACCTAGGTTTCAATATAAACCACTTTTGTTTCTCTTGGGAATCCTCTGGCTGAAACTCAAGGCCCTGCTCCAATGCCAGAATCTAACGTCTCCATTTCATCAGCTTTGAGTACGTTTAGAAAATGTCGGAATGCATCACAACAAATTTATGATCACATAAAGCCAGAAACGTCCTTCTGTAGTCTTCGGATACTCAGAAGATTTAATCATGAAAAAGTATCAGAAATGCTTCTGAACTTGCCAAAAATTTACATTATGGTCATTTAGCCTAGTGTCTTGATTTCCTTCCACAGAGGGAGAGGGGCGTCCAGCCAGTGAGTTGTACGGGTCATGTCTGGATTCACCGTTTCCTCCTGTGTGAGAATATTTCAGGGCATCTGACTGCAGACCAGAGGTGTAATTAAAACTCTCGAGCACTTTCTGTGAAAAATGTGCATTAACTTTTAGACTCACGTTCTGGGTTTAAAAAAATAAACGATATGGTCCCAGTCTTGAAGAAGCTCAAAACGTAGGTGGGGGAAGCCATATAAATAGGTGATAATGGGCTTCCCAGGTGGCACTAGTGGTAAAGAACCTGCCTTCCAATGCAGGAGACATAAAAAGATGTGGGTTTGACCCCTGGGTTGGGAAGATCCCCTGGAGGAGGGCATGGCAACCCACTCCAGTATTCTGAGGAGCCTAGCAGGCCACAGTCCATGGTGTTGCAAAGAGTCAGACACGACAGAAGCAACTTAGCATGTGCACACGTATGTAATGTTTTTAGAAAGTCGTCCGAAGCGCTGTGGTCATGGATCACCATCGCTGCCTGGGAGAGCCCTCCAAGGAGGGAAAAACTTTGATCTGGGCCTTGAAAGATGAGCTGGAATTTCCAGAGAAGAAGAAACCTCAGGGTCTTTCAGCAGAGGGAGCAGCATGTGAAGGTTTGGGGAGGGAGAGGTTTGGGGGAAATGCGAACTGTTCTGCAGGAGTAAATTCAAGAGGCAAGTCACTGCTTTGGCTGGACTCCCGCTTACATTTTACCCCTGGATACCCTCGGGTGTCACCTGCCTCTTGCTTTCTGAAGAGTTAAGCAAGCTGAGTTCCAAGGCAGCTTCCCTCGCTGTTACGGAGCAGGTCACGTTGTATCTCGAGGGTTTAGAAATCACACTGCTGAAGCACTCACAGCATACTGACGAGACAAACGAGACGCTTTCTGCTTCTGTATGCTTGTGTTGAGGTGGGGAGGGGGCTGAGGCAGAAAGAGCAGGGAGTGACCCATTCCGGAGGGGTCAGGACATGACTCCGGACCCCTGAGTGCCAGGGCAGACCTGGGGTCACACCCACACACCCGAGGTCGCTGGTCCTCGAGCACCTGAAGGGAAGGCAACGTAGAGAGCGACCGCCTGTAAACGGAGAGCCTCCACTCCGGAAGGAGGGACCACTGGTGCTTGCTGGTTACCACTCACCAGGACAGGAAGCAGTTGGCTCCTCAGTCCTGGGTAACGATCCCCTGCAGGAGGAAGTGGCAGCCACTCCAGTAAGTACTCTTGCTGGACAATCCCATGGACGGAAGAGCCTGGTGGGCTACAGTCCACGGGGTCCCAAGAGTCGGACGCGACTGAGTGACTAACGCTTTCCCTTTCCTGGGCATCTGCTGAGCCTGAGCCTGTGCTCAGCACAGTCCGAGGGGCTCTGGACATCTATCATCATGATCTTTACCCTCTTGGACTCCACAGTCAGGGCGGGGACCCGTTACAGAGTGGGCTCTAAGAGCCCAGGAGTTCAGCTTCCTTCTCCTTGGATTATCTTGGGCATTCCCATCACTATCAGATTTGCTGTGCACTTTGAAGCCTTCCAGAAACTTTTCCTGAATCAGAATTTCCAGGGCCTCCTGGGCATCTTTATTCGGGTGTTCCCGAGACCGTTGGAATGCAGCAGTGGAAGCTGACAGCCCCAGAGACCAGATGAGACTCTGACATGACTGACGACTTAGGGGAGAGAGGGGCTCCTCCCCAGGGGTGAGCAGGAGGGCATCTCAGCCGGAGACCAGCATGAAATTGGTGACAGCATGTGGATCTGGACCCCAGTCACACACACACACACACACACACACACACACACACACACACACAACTACACCTGCCAACACTGGGGCTAATGGTAAGCATATAGGCATGCCCTTGGCAGAGAGAGGTGTTCTGGGAGACTGACTTCAGAAGACCCAGGAGTTCCCAGCTGTTGAGGATGCAGCGCATGCTGGGAGGGCCTGTGAGGTGGCTGGGACCCGGGGTCAGCGTACAGAAGCCACACAGTGCAGGACTCCTTCTTTTGGAGGAAAAAATGAATAATATGTATTTTTGGTTTAGAAGTTTTGTATAGACATGATATTTTATATAATCATTTGGGCCAAATTTGTTCATAAGTCTTGAACCTAAAAATGGAGCCACGGGGGCAACAGAATTGCTTTCGGTTTAGCGACACCACCTTTGAATTTCCACCTGCATCTGGGCTCTCTCTGTGGCTTCCTGCAGGAGCAGGACCTGAAGCTCGTCATGGCGGGCCTCCCCATGGGATGCTTACCCTCTCGGGACTGGCTCCAGGTGGCAAAGCCCCCGTTCCAAGGGATCACTGCCTGTTGGTGGGTTCTGAGCTGTAGATACTGGTTGTGGCAAAGAACAATGCGGAGGCTTTCTTTTGGAAGTCTGTTTTATTTATTTATTTATTTTTGCTCTGTTTTTAGAAGACATTCAATAGCTACAATTCTTGGCTATGTCATAAGGGTAGTGAGGCATTTCCAAAAGGTCTTACCTGCCATGTTGAAGTCTTTGGCTGCAGGGGAATGAGGGATGTGGCTGTCATATTGCTGCCCGCAGCCTGCATTTCTGTTCCTTTTCACTCCACTGTGGTCCCTTCCTGAGCCTGCACACTGAAGGGCGTGGACAGGACGAATGGCTACGGTTCTAAAGCCTCTCAGAGCCTTGTTTGTTCCCTTGTCAACGACAAAGGCTTGATTTCTCATTCTACAGGAATTCCTTTCATTATCCTGATATAGAAGGTTGGTGTTCAAGAGAGAGACATTTCTTCACATGAAAGTAAAACCAAACACAGTTGAATTTATCATTAACACATGGTTCTGAAATGGAGACAAAAGATTTCCGGCTGTGTTCGTATGTCTAATATACAAGGTACTGGATATTTTTGATAATAGCCATTCTATACAAAGTAGACTGATTCTGTAGAGAGTCCTTTAAAGTAAATCTCTGTAGAACGACCATCTAGAATTGCGACGTATTTAAAAACAAAGACCCTGATATTAACACCGGACTCTGCTGACTGATTTCACTTTAAGTGGATGACTGGTCCTGACTTCAGCACCATGTGCCTTTGGACCTCATCACATGTCGTCTCTCCTGTGTGTCAGTGAGTGACTCTTTCTAAGGTTGACAGTGCTGACAATGACTGCAAAAAATGTGCTATTGAGTTTGGCTGTAATGTCCTAATTTTCATACTCATGGCTCTCGGAATGTAGTTGAGGGCACACATCCATCCTTTGTGTGTGAGAACTCTGTCTTTAACCACTTAATGAGATAGAAAGCAAACTGTTTCCAAGAGAGGCTGAACAGTAACACATCCTGCAGATCAAATAAGGTATTTTCAGTGCAAATAGAGTGCGCGGATTTTACATGGGAAGTTGGCTCTATTCACAGGGCACACATTTCATCATCCGACTACAGCTTAAACTGGGTCGTGGTGTCAGGCGAATTGCTGAGGATCTGACATCAGAACCAGGAGTTGCCTTTCCGCTGCAGGGGACTTTAAGAGGTCCATAGCTCAGCTAACGCTGTTTGTGGGGTGATGGGGGTGGGTGTGTTGTCAGAAGTAGCAAGCTCTCCTGGTGCTGAGGGTGGAGCTCTGGCAGCAGGAAGGAAAGGCAGCAAGGGTTGAGGTGCTGCCCAGCATCTTTTTTTCTTTTTTTAACATATGTGTTTGTTTATTTGGCTGCACTTCATTTCAGCACGAGGGGTGTATTTCGTGACCGTGGACCCCACCTGGGTCCCCTGCTTTGGGAGCATGGAGTCTTAGCCACTGGACCACCAGGGAACTCCTGAGTACAGCATCTTAACAGTCTCTAACTCTGCTGTCTTTGGGGGAAAAAAAGAAAAAAGATAATTTGGGAAGGTCCTAGAGAAATCATTTAATCCATGTTCTGGATGTTTGAAAGGATTGTTCCTAAAATCCTATTTTTAGATTCTTTCAAAGTAATTGGTTCTATTAATATGGCTTCTCAGAAGCACCAAGTTGGGTAAGGAGGTTCTACCTGACATCTCACTTTGGCCTCTGTCTTCTTCTTCTGTCCTCAGTGGAGTCAGAATTCAAAGGATCTTGGGGGAGTCATTCTTCAATTTTCCTTTTCTTCTGATATTTAGATGCTGACAACAAATCTGTGTTGGGTTAATTAGCACATTGTGGAGAACATTTTGATGTTATTAAATGTGTAACTTTGTGGCTATATATTAATTTAAGGCTGGATGTTTTTTTCTAGCTATTTTCATTAGTGAAGTTATGCTCATATCATATTAAAAATACACTTGTTTATATCTACTGGAAAATTAATTATAACTTCATATATGCACTTCAGTGCAATATTTGCAGTGTTTTCCTTCCTGAAGACATTTTATCATTTTGACAAGCATTAATCCTTATATTTATGGTTCCCATAACCCCCAAAGA